TTAGCTCCATAAGCCACGGCAGAGCCATAAAAGTCTTCTATACCACAACTCAAACTGCCCACAAAAACTTTAGGGCCACGCCGGTTCATACCTGGAAAACACTGTAAAATAATTCTTCAGCGTAAATGCAAAGACTTTAAAGGGCTTCAAAAGAAATAAATCTTCCTGCCTCCCTTGTGCTTAAAAACAAACAGTAGATTTTATCAACTACATAAATTAGAGCTAATACTGCCTAAACTTTGATCAGTTTAACAGTAACTACAATTATATGAATATAAGATAAAACCATTTTTTTATTCAGCTAGAGTGAGGATCCTCAGTAGTCCACTGAAATGCATAACCAACATAACAACTCAGTTCTCATTAGCATAAATACTCAGCCAATATTCTAAGGGTCTAGAATGAATAGGTTTTATATAGAGTGCCACTAGAAATGAAAATAATCTTATTTATAATGCAATTAAAGCTACATTAAGCACTACCCTAACACTGTAAGAAGGAGCTATCCAAGCAGGGCAAATGGTAAACTGGTTTGGGGACTTTTTCTTCTTTCTTGGTTGATCATTTTGCCTTGGTTACAGAAGAACAACTTAGAACCCAGTTTTTAAGACAAACTCATTCCATAGGTTATTTAATTGTGTACCTACTTTGTGTAGAGACTTGTAAAATCAGAATGCAACCCTATTGGCTGCCTCTGAGGGTGGGCTGGAGTGGGAACTGACTGAACAAGCATGAGGTGACTTATAGGAAAATGAGAAGGTCTGTATCTTGATATAGATTTGGATTTTACAGCATTTGTCAAAACTCTGAGAATGTATATTAAGACGTGCATTTCATACAGAGGTGTGTATGCTGAAGACTCTGGAGGGAAGGGCTCTTTGTCTGCAATTTACTTTGAAATGTATCAAAGATTAAGATGTATTGATAAATGGAGGATGGAGAGATATGCGGTAACAGTAAAATGTTCATGGGAACATCTAGGTGGTAGATATACAGGTGTTCTGTGTGGAGTCCTTTCAATCTGCATACTTGAAATTTTTCATAACAAAATGTTAGAAGGGGAAAAAGATGCAACCTGGCTAAACAATGGAATACAACAAAAGTAAAAACAGTAATTTAAAAATATTTTTAAAAATTTACCCAAATCTGCTATGCAACACTGTCCATTCTTCTTAACCAGGATGTTTTTGCTTTTTAAGTCTCGGTGAGCGATGGCTGGTTTCCCTTGGGTCCCAAATATCTCTATGTGCAAATGTGCGAGGCCACTAGCTATGGACAGCACTATTCGCAGGCAGCTAACTGTATCCAGGGTAGTAAGCTGAAGATAGTCATACAACGACCCCATTTCATGATAATGTGTGATTAACCACAACTGTGTACTGGAGTGTCTTGATGTCATGTCAGAAGCAATGAAACCTAAAGAAAGCAAAAACAAAATTAAGAGACGTGAGAATTCTATCTCATAGCTTTTAGTATACAGAAATAGTGACCATACAGTAGAGATCACCTAAAACAAAAAATAAACTCACCAACTACCATGAGAGGAGGTTTACAGAGACATCAATAGAGAAAAATAATATATTTATTCCTTAAAAAGGCACTGCTAGTGAATGGGAAATTCTTATATTCATTGTAAATAATCCTTTAAATAATCCTTTGTAAATAATCCTTTAAAATATTTTACATTGCATTACGATTCAGAAAGGAATAGTATCTTTGTGCTTACCCGTAATGATAGTGTCAAACCCTTTATCACATTGATATTCCAGGCACAGACCATTCAGCAACCACCCAGGAAGAACCCTAAAACCCAGAACCTAGCACTTGGGATCTAGTCTTGCTCTACTTGTGACCTGCTGTGTAATATCGGGCAACTCATTTGGGCTCTTTGGATTGTCTCGCTGTAAAATCAAGGGGTGCGTTTGTATTAAATATCTGACTGATTCATCAAATAAACAAAGGAACCCATCAAGTATAACAAGCACCTGGGATGTTTTCTTGTCAGTCACACAGAAAAACCAAGATGATGGTGTTTGTTGGTTAGAAAAGAAGACAGATTTGAAAAGGAAAAATTGTGATATAATGTGAAAAATCCTGTAGTACATATCTGCACAGGGCAAGAGGAGCCCAGAGCAGGGAATCATAATTCAGACTAGATGGTACCACAAGCTACCATCAAGAAGTGACAGCTGAAGTGGTCCTGAAAAGAAGTGATATAATGAAAGATATAGATAAAGAGGAAGGCAGACATTTTTCTGGCCATTCTGAAGGGATTTTTCAGCACACTGAAAGAACTTGAAGTCGGAGGCACTTCCTAATCTATGAAATAAATTGTGATATGTGTGCCTGTCTTTTCTGCTACAGAGGCACCATCCCAGCATGAGGGATATACTTTAGGGACACACAGACAGTGAAATTTAGGACTTAGAAATACGAGAGGATTTGGGGGAAAAAAAAAAAAGATGGATATGATATGAAGAATTAAATGACTTATGCAAGTGTAAAGGAAAAGGCAAATATGTAAAAATTCCTTACTTTATATAAAGTACTTTATATAAAATTCGATTTATAATTTAATAATTTATATAATAACATGATTTATAATTTAATTTATCACTTTCACAAATATTTTCTCATGGGATTTTTCTCAATAGATCAGTAAGATAAATATCATTATATTCATTTTCCAAATAATGAAGTCGCTGCTGGGAGGTGCCAAGGATAACACAGCTATTAAGTTGCTACCAACTCCAAGTTGGGTGCTAGCTGATCTGGTGCACCATACCTTGCCTAGGAAAGCTCTGTGGAGAAAGAAAGGTTCCCTATTTGATCATAATCATCATTGACAACAATCAGTGAAAACAGTCACTAATTAGTGAGAACTAGCAATGGGCCAGGCACAGTTCTAAACACCCTACAAGCCATCCTCCAACAACCACACAAAGGAGGCAGAGTACATCACGCACATTAAGGTCAGTGATGGTCCCCAGCAGCCTGCTCTGGAACCCATACTCTTACCTGCCATACTACCCCCCAAACAAGCTGATTTCAAATCACAGAAAGACAATTTGACATCTGTACCCATGGGACATCTGTAAAGTGAACTGAATGACACTTCCGCACCTTGGTCCCCTATCTCTTTCTCCCTCTTCCTGAGCCGGTCCCCACGGCCAGCTTAGTCTCTCACTCTTCCCTGTTCTCCAGTCTGTCTTTGTCTCCCAGAGCTGATTCTCTTGGAGCCCTCAGCTGGCCATAATATCAGTCAAAATGTGCACTTAGACATTAGTTATTCTTGCTAAAGAAAATGTTTCTGCTTTATCATTTTAAACCAAATGATATTCATCTTTAAAGACTTTCTCAAAAATAAATATCATAAACTATAAAAGCACCACTCAAAATAAATTAAACTACTGCCGTATATTTGGGTAGCCTTTACTGATTTCTCTGCCCAAGGGTGAGCAGCATCTAACTGACTAAGTGATTAAATAAATGTTTATTCTCTCACCTTCCCTAAGTCCCCAAGTTCTTAGAGAAGGATTTTGTCTGTCCCATTAATTATGCTCTAGACCTTCAAGAAAAATGAGTTTTAAATAAGCAGGGTTAAAAAAAAAACCTTTCTCTCTTGTATGAATTATATAGCGACATTTGCTTCAACATGCTAGAGCATTTTTATGGGACTTTTGCATTCTGAGTCAAAGAACTTTGCTCCTAGTGGAGACTGAACAGGTGCCTATAAGTTGGAACTCTGGCACAGCCACTGGATGTGTTCATAACATGGAGAGAAAGTGATCAGGGCAAAAACCTCTTATATAACAGTCACAGTCATCCTCCCAGGCTCCTCAAGAACTACAATAAAACCCCAAATCTTAAGGGAAGTAATCAGTGCCCTTTGTGAGCCTCTCACTGGCAACTCTCACGGGAACCAGACTCTGGGCATCTGGACAGCTGCAGAGTGCGGCCACCACACCGGGGAGCACAGAGGGTGAGACGCTGAGCCCAGGAGCTGCACTACTGGGCGCCCACTGGGCTCCACCAGCCTGAGCTGGGTGATCCCACGTATGCCACATGAAACAGCTTCGTTGGTTTCTCGTTTGTAAGATACAGATAGCATCACCCTGTATCTCAAAGGGTTATTGTAAGGATAAATGTTATTACAGATAAAATGCTTCAGAGGATGCCTAACACACAGTAAGTTTTGAAGAAAACTGGTTACTATTATAGTTTAAAATAGCTCAGGGTTCAATTAAAACCACAACAATTTTGTAATTTAATATCTTTTTCAGGTAGTTTCCTTCACTTCCAACTGATCTCAAGAAAGTCTGACTGATTAAATGGTTAGGTAGTACCATTTAAGAGCATGAGCCAGTTCTGGAGAGGGAGGGTGGTGATGGCACAATGTGAATATACTTAACTGTCACTTATATGATTAAAATGGTAAACTTAATGGCTACTGTACCATAATTAATAAAAAAAAAAGGAGTAATAGATGAGACTTTGGCATGAAAGTCTCATTAACTTAACCTCCCTGGTTTTTGTGAGGAAAAGCATGCGCAGAAACACACAACTTTGGTCCCTAAAGATGCTAGAGCAGAAACCAGCTTCTCAAACTCCCAGACACTGTCCCAGCCACTACAACACAGCCTCCCATTATTCATTTATTTGTTGGCTTTTACACCCGATATAGCAGAAGGATGAGATGAAATCCAAACTAATCACTGGGAAAATACCATTCTGGGGGGATAAACAATGAGGACCCAAGAGTGTGTGTGTGTGTGTGTGTGTGTGTGTGTGTGTGTGTGTGTGTGTGTGTGTGTGTGTGTGTGTGTGTGTGTGTGTGTGTGTGTGTGTGTGTGTGTGTGTGTGTGTGTAGGTAATTTAACTATAATTCAGTGTGGGCTAGAGTAATTTAATTGTGTATTTTGCAGGGGCTAGAGTTAGCAATACTCAAGGGTGGAGGGAAATCATAATCTGATATTCAAAATAATATGCTCTTTTGACAGAAAAGAAAATGATCAGAGAAAACCTTCAAGTCTCTACATCCAAAACACCGCTAAAGCAGTGAAAGAAGTTTAATCAAAAAGGATAGTGCATTTCTACAAGCTTTCTCTGCTAAAAGGACTGACTACACAGTAAGATTAATCCATATAGCTGTAATTATGATGAGGGTAGAAAAGAGCTCATGAATCCAGAATTTCCATGGGTCATTAGGTAATAAGAAGTGGTCAATGTTTTGCCCTCTGTGATCACACTAAGGGAACCTAACTTCTCTTACAGGAATCCTATTGCAAAGGTAACTTTCAAATTTTCCTTGTGATCAAATCAAATTTAATAAATACTTACTGGGCACCTACCATGTGCAGGGAACTGTCCTCAGTACTGGGTGTAAAAGCCAAAACAATGGAAATAATTCGTGTCCTTGGGGTACAATGGAGTGGCATCACAGGTCATTTAACTCAAGAGCATGGATAAAGTGACTATTTGCAGACCACAGCACTATGTAGAGCGTTTTGCTCAATGAGCCTGTGAGCCCCAGGGGAATGAGTGGGGCTGCCTGAACACACCCTTTCTTCAGTGAGTCTCTGAGCCCATATTCTTCTCAGCATATGTGCACCTGCCCACTAAGAGTAATTCTGCTGTTCAAAGGTAAGTACTTCTTATACATCACAGCTTCTAACACAACCAGGGCTTTAGCTGTTACTCAGTCTCAGTCTGCTCCAGTGTCAGAGAGAAAAACTGGGGCATTTAAAGATAATTTTGACTGTAGATGAATTTTCACCTCACACTCTTGACTCTAGAATCTAAGAAGCTATTCCACGAGCTAACTACCATGTGGTTAAAAATCAGACCATCTGGTGTGATTCTCAGCTCCATTATTTAACTTGCTGGGTGATGTTAACCTTTCTGTACCTCAAAACCTCATCAGTTACAACTAAGAAAACACGTGTACCTAACTTCTTATGGTCATAGTGAAGATTAAATGGGAAAAGGCAATAAAACACTTAAAGCAGTGCCCACTGCATAGTAACTGGTCATTACTGTTGTTATATACATATCTAACTGCATCATCATACTGATGTATATAACATCACACTGTTAGATACATCATACTGTTACATACATACATCATATGATGTACTTAACATCCTACTGTTGTTACATTCACATCTAACTGCAATATAGGGCAGTCTATGACAGCAGATGTGCAAAGTGCAGGAGTACAGAAAAGCACAATCAAATCCCGTGGGAGAGTCTGGAAGGGAACTGAGAAGTTGTGATGGAGGAAGGGGCGGTTGGAGAGGAGACAGGGTTAATGAATGATCAGGAGTAACATGAACAAAGGCACAGACATGTGAACGTTGATGGCGATCCCAAGGAATGGCAAGTACTGGAAGTGGCTGCACGTGGGCATATTCATAGAGGAAGCTTCAGAGTGAGCCTCTTTGAGACCCCAAAATAGGGAATCTGGAATGCCAGGCTTGGAAGTCACAAATGTTGCAAGCAACGTGGGAGTCACCAAAGATATTCTGAGCCAAAGTGTCTCAGCTCCCCAGTGGAAGATAAGTCACTGCAGCAAGACGGACTGGAAAGGGAAGACCAACAACAGCAATACTAGAGAGGAGGATTAGGTGATGGCGAGGGCCCAGGGGGTAAGGGAAGGAGAGAGAATGACAGCAGGAACTGAGAATTCTGACATGGAACATACCACCAAACTGTTAAAGCAAAGCTTTGGACAACTGTCAAACCATTATTTGCAGACAACCTGACTCAGGTTTAATACTAAATTGGCAGTACTGGAAGAGAAATAAATTCTGGCAATGGCCTTTCTACAAGCCAAACCTAATCCAATAGCTACACAGTGGCCAACATTATCCTACAAAGGGTCAAATTCTGTGGAAACTCTGTATCCACTATTAGAGAAGCACTCCAGGCAGCCTTCATCATACATGTATTAGTGTAAACACATTTAGAGAAGCTTTCAAAAACAGAGAAGTCACACGGGCTAAAGGAATTTTCTAACCCTTTCTACTTCAGTATTTCAATGGGCTCGTCACACACTTCACAAATGTTTCCAAGCTTTAGTTTCCAAATTAAAATGTATGCTAAATCCCTCTCTAAATCTGGGCTTTAAAAACGATGCCTTGTTTGAAGGAATGTGCATTTAATTACGACGTCCCTGGGAGCTATGAATCTCTATGAATCTCTAGGAAATCGTCCAAAGATCTTTCTTCGTTTGATTCAAGTAATAAATATTCAAAAAGGGTGGGGTAGGCAGAACTATGGAGGAAGCCTTGAAGTGAACAATATGGGGCAAATTTTTGTTATTTAAATAACAACCTGCAGAGTAAGAACTCAGCAATAACAATTTCCTTTTCATCATCCAGAAAATCTTCAAACTTAGCTTCTCTGCAGATTTAAACAAGAAATTTGTGTTAAAAGATAATTAGACAGTGTATAAATGCTGATAATCCCCTATGCCACTTTTTAAGAGAGATCTGCAAATTCACGTACACCAAGTCAGAGAGGGCAAAGGCAGGCAATTATTTCTTTCTAGATAAAAATTAATGAGAGAATTACTTCTGTACTCACCTAAAATATTTTCATGCCTCAGCATCACAGTGTTGTACAATTCTGTTTCCCTGAACCACGACTTCTCATCCCGGGAGGAGAAGATCTTCACAGCGACATTCTCCCCTTGCCAGCTGCCCCTCCACACCTCACCATACCTGCCTTTCCCTGTGGAAAGCAACATGGGGGGACATTGGACAGGAGGACAGGACAGGCAGCCAATAAACTTTGTGCCTGCAACTCTTAACTCCTCCCACGGAAAAACACAATTTGGGGAAATAAATACCATAACCTTTTGCCTGTAAAGACATCCAAAAATAAGGTGAAACCTGTCCCTCCCACCCACCCCACTGTGCTATCAAATTAAATCCTCTCAGAATGTGCATTTGTACAATCAGCTGCTAATTACAAGGTTACATTTACATTCCTCTATTAAAATGTAAGAAATGCATATGGTTTGCAAAAGCATGTGGAAGTAAAATTTAGAAAATGGTAGATTATTAGATTTTAATGTTGATGAAAGCCAAAAAGTGTATGTGGCTAAACTGAATAGCTTCCTCGATTCCTTCCCTTCATAAAAGATCAACATAGGCATTTTCTAAGAGTCCAAATTTGTGAATTTACATATGCATCTATATTTTTCACAAAGGAGACTATTAAGTTTGAGATGTGTCTTCTGAGGGATTAAAGATAACACACACACACACACACACACAATGCTGTGTAGGAGATTGACAGGCAGCCACTGCCATCTGTAAAGGGTTTCTTGGTGGGGGATATATTTCAAAAGAGGATTAGTAAAGTCTTAAACACATAATGCCAGGACAGGACAGTCCTGATTTCTGACATTGATCATAGGGGTTCGCTTGTGAGACAGCCCCCGTGATGCCAAAAGGCAGCAACTTCGAAAAGGCCACGTGGAGAAGACATTTTCAAAACCACAGTGAGTAGTCATGATCTCAACCACTGCGCGCATGTCCCTTCCTGCAACCACAGCACAACTGTCAGCTTGTCAACTCCACACTCCCGCTTCTATTCTTCTTAATTACAGGTAGGGGTGATCAGGGAGGATGGGAGGAGGAGGTAATTACCACGAGACTACAGGGATCAACCCAGGGTATAACTGAGGGGAAAGACAGACTCGGCACCTAGAGAACGATGCAGCAGGAGATGTAACCGGCAGGGCAACGGGGCTTTCTACCAAGGCAAGTGGCTGCTGGGAATCATGGCTTGTGATAAGCACCACCCGCACGTACAGGAATACAGAGCTTTGCTGAAAAACTAAGGCATGAAAACCCAAACATGGAGAGAAAAGCATGTCTGTCCAGGCGATTATGTCATAAAATATAATCAAAACCGCCCAATCTAGATCCCCTTACGATAAGCAAGGTCCCTATTAAATACTAATGACTAATCCAAAGGGGTGTTAAATGTAGCCAGTAGGTGGTCTTTGTGGGTCACTGTCAGGTCACAAAAATAGTATTTAGTGCAGGATTAATTTTAATAAAGCCCTAGCAATTGCCCAGCATTTGTAGTTTAAGATGAAGGCTACTGCTAAGATCTACAAAATCAGCTCCTAGAAAACGGTACACTAATCTCTTTCTGCCTTTGGTTCCGTTCTGTATCTTTAGTTGCCGTTTGTCCTCATATTCTCATTAGGAAAGAAGGGAAAATATCCCAGAGCATTGTGGACATTACTATAAAGTTGCCTTAAATCTTTTTTTTTCAAGAAAAAAAGATATACGTCAGTGCAAGCAGAATTGAAACAGAAACCTACTTCAATGGTTTTCAAACACTTTCAAGCTGTCAAATGCTTTTTACAAATGCAACCTAATGCAGAAGTCCCTAAAAACAGAAGCAGAGCTGCCCCAAAGTCCAGGCCATGAAAACCCAAAAGGGGATTCCTAAGGTACCTGAAATTTGAGGGTTCACTGATCACCATCTGTACCGACTGATCGAGTCCAACTTCCCATGTATCTGAACCAAAAGTGGTAACATATTATCCAAGTAATTCATTACATATATTTTTAAACAAGGCTGTACTACATGAGCACTAACTAGAAGCTACTGAAAAGGCAGTGTTTTTATTAAAGTCTTCAGCACTAAACCAACAAAATGCTCTGATTGAACTTACACTCTTTCAAAAGATGCTGAAGAATATCTATATAACAGGAAATAGTATGCATTTTTTTTTAGTATGTATTTTTAAAGGTGCAGTGTTATTTTGCCCTTTGGACTCTGGAGTCCATCTCTGAGGACTGACCTTGAGGGCTGCTGCTCTGTGAAGGGTGAGAGGCTCTGGGACAGGAGGGGAGGGAGTCATGTCCCCCTTCACCACCTTCTACCTACCCAGGTACCCTTGTTCATCAAAAACAAAACAAAGAAACAAACAAAAAAAACAACAGGATGTCATCTGGCACAGGAGGACAACCCTAGCTGTAAACAGTGAGCACACTGGGGGCTCTCCATTCTCACTTTTCTACTCCCAGTCCACCGTGGAGAAGCAGCAGGAAGCAGGGGTTCAGAAATAGCCACAGTAGCTACAGATCCAGAGAAAAGGCGACAGGCCCCTGCTGGCCGCCTGTGTGCCTGAAGGTGGCAGTCGCTGCTTTGACTACCTCTGCCCACCCTCTTCCACTCCTGCATTTGAGGGTGTCCTGGTTTCCAGAAAAACAGGAAGAAAAGTTGGAGGATAGCAGACAAGTGGTAGAGACAGCTTATGATGGCCAGCCACCTCTGCAGCAGGAGCTGCAAAGCCAGCCCAGAGAAACCAGGAGAAGTAGGAGGAGAGCGTGGAGACGTTTCTAGTCCATCATTGCTACTGTGGCCAACCCCGCACGCCATCTAAGGGGACGTGAATGAAAACTATCATGTGACTTGCAAATGACCACCTCACAATACTACAACTAATACAACTCAGGACTTACGGGGAAAAAAGCATTTTGCACCATCTTCCTAGAGGGCAATCCGACAGTAAATAAGACAAGCCATAAAAAAATTGCAAATTTTGACCCAGGAACCCCAATTCCTGGGAATGTATTCTGTGCACTCAAAGAAGCAATGGGCGCAAAAACTTTTTCAAGCAGTATTATTAAAGATATCATTCAACAGACAATTACACAATCTTTCAAATTTCTGTGATGTGTACAAATACATGGAAATGTGTGTGAGCTTAAAACTGAAAAAAGGAGCACGGATTATATACACACTATGATTACATCTCTACACAAATAGGTTCCAATATGGGAAAAAATGTGAGGCCATAGAGAAATTACATAGCTCTTGCTTAAATAAAGCAGTTATAGATGTAGCTTTGCTACATTTCTTTCTTTTTTGGTTAAGGCAGGGGAAGAGTGAGAAAGAGAATTGCAATCACCAAGTTAATTGTCCAAAAGCCGACTTACCTCAGCCCCTCCAATGCCAATGTCAGGAGCAGCCATGTTAATTTATTTTTAAGCAATCCCATCATCCTGAAGGGTCTAATTTAAACTAAAAGGTTTTGACGAGGCATTCTCTGTCCTAACTAGTGGCAGACTACTTTGACAAGAGCTTCACCAAGTTCTAGTGCTCCAACACAAGTCACAGAGATTAGAGGCATAGCCACACCACACAGCTACCTCACATTTGACCTTTAACAAGCAACAGGCAACGAGAAGCAGATTTTCCAAGGTCCATTCTGTTCCTAGAACCACAGCTATCACCGCACATAACCCGCAAAGGAAAGGGAAAACAATTACCGACACACTCCAGCAGTGTGATCTGACGAGCCACTGTTCTTTGTACCAGAAAAGGAAGACCAGAGCCACTTCCCGATGTACACGAGTGATCCAATAAATCCTGTGGTTCAAAACAAGGAGAAAGAGAAGCTATTGAGGAACAGCTCCCAGGTTAGAGGATGAGCATGCACGTGGGTGTAACTTGCACGGGGGCAGCAATCCTGGACTGTTCGTGTGCGTGGAAAGCCCCACCGGAGGAAGGCCTGCTTTTATTTCAGAAGCTAGCATTCTCCCTAATATATGATATAGGTTTTTCAGAGGGATAAGTAGTTCTTTCTTGTATCTAGAGTTTTAGAATAAAATATACAAAAAAAGAAGCTGAGTGGACAAAGTCAAAGATGCAAACTAGAAAGTCCAAGATGCAGGCAGAGCTGAGCTCAAGGGGAAGCAGTAGACAGAAAAGTGAGTGGAGCAAAAAGAGGAGAATGGGCACGCAAATCCAAGAGCTGGGCAAAGCTGACTGTGTTCTGCTCTGCTCATAGGTATCTACCGATGGATCCACTTTAGTTGACATGTCGACTAAGGGACTCTAATAAGGAACAAACAAACTGGGAATAAGGAACAAGCAACTCTAATGCTGTTTGTCTTGGAAAGACTCCAGTGGCCATGTGAGGTCCTTTAAACTGGTACACTCAAGAGGAGAGGGCTACCTGGATGAAGGTTACCTTGTAGGTATGTGAGGAACAAAAGAATCACAAAATTAATTCCTCTATGTCATTTCTTGATGTCAATTTCCCACAAAGCAGGGAGAGAAAAAAATCTTTCATTAAAACATAAAACCATACCCCAAATCTACTTCTAAAAATGAACACACTACAAAAAAGATTCCCAATTAGTTCATTCATAAATTTTCTCTTCTTACTCTCAGTACAAGCCAAGAAGTGGAAGCCTTCTCAATCAGGAATGGATTCTCTGTAATAAGCAATGTTGTGCCCACGGTGATTGTGGTAAGGGTGCAGTGACGCTGAGCTAACGCTCCCCCAAAGCTTGTCCTTCCTTTCCCAAACATTTTAGCTGGCCTGTTAAAGTGATACATTCTTTGTTTGAATTTCATCATCTTTTACTTACTCTGAGCATCACTGTGAAGTACTGTTGATCAGCAAAATTACCAAAATCTGAACATCCAAAGGAAGAAATTTAGAATCCTTAAAAGCCACAAAATGGATAATCAACAAGAAACTGAATGTAGATGAAGCAGAGTTTCATATCTCCTTAACCCTCTCTTTGGCTGTTCTTTGTTTCTCTTTATTCATTCAATTTTTTTGAGACAATAATTCTGAAAATTAAACTAATGTGTTGTTTCATCATAATGTATAACCCTGGTTCTAAACCTAGTTCACAGACTTCAGGGAGGGGGTGGTATCAATCAAAGACTAACAAACATCTACTTCAACTCTTGGATCCCAAGGCTTCTTTTTCAACGTAGGGGAGCTGTTTAGTAAGGTATGCATTGCTGAATCACATAAATGAGCATCTCACTTAAATAAGCTAGTATGTAGACCAATGATGACAACTTGTTTTAAACAGTGTTCCTTACGGTGTCATTATATCATGATAGTCATCTAACATGGTTGGGTTGAGACTATTTTAACATATACTTCTGTTCCGCTTTCAAAATTATAGAAGCCACTGAAACAGTAATTTACACTGGAAATCCCAATCATTGCCCAACGTGATCAGCTACATTAGTAGCTCTGAGGAGCAAAGATCTGACTGTCTCAGAATCTTGCTTTGCTAAAAGCTTTGTCGGGATGCAGAGCCTTGTATCTTCCTTGCTACTAAGTCAATGAACTCATTTAATTTGCCTTAAAACTTGAAATAAAATTCCAAGTACCTTTCTAATAAAAACCTGTATTTCTTCACTTTTTAAATGAAACACCCTTATTTCTTCTTTTCCCAGTTTCGCTGTACTACCACGATTTAAACAGGTAAGTTAAAGGAGCCAAACAAGATTGCCTCCCCCTTTTTTCATACAAAAAAGTACACCCAACTGTGGTCCAGTGATGGGGAAAGCAGTAGGATGGGATATTTCCCAGCCTGGATCAGCCATCATCAGATGTTTTAACAACTCGCCAAGGGTTGTAGTCCAGGTGTACCAACTGAGCTAGGAAGACTAGTGAGGTCAAGTCTTCTCCAGCAAAAAAGCAGTCGCAGGGCAGGCTTAACTGCAGGACTCCCAGACACTTTAAAGTTTGTTATCGAGGAGAACAAGACTTAATACAAGATGATCTTAGGTGATACATGGTCATGGCATTAAATAACACTGAATAACATAAAAGCTACCACCTTGATCACCTTTCTTTCTTTCTTTTTCTTTAATGGAGGTACTGGGATTGAACCCAGGACCTCGTGCATGCTTAGTACTGATCTACACCCCTCTCCCCTTGACCATCTTTCAGTTCATCAGGTTATGACAAGAAGAGTCTCAACTGGGTAACAGCATGTCTGTTACATCTCACTAACAGTCACAAAGCTTTGCCTTTTTCAGAGGAGCACCCAGCTCAGCACAGTATCCCTGTAGAATGTTATTACTTTTCCCTTTGGCACTTGATGGCACCCCATCCACAGAACGTGATTCCCTTTCCTCACTTAAAGTTTAAAGTTGTTTTAAAAAGTGAAAAAAGGAAGACAGTCACTTTTTAATGTCATTTCATCATTTAAAAATGTGCAAAAGAGTAACTCTAAAACAAGTAACAATGGTTTCTAGCCCTGTGCTGTCTGTTAGGGTAGCTACTAGACACATGTTGACACCCAGTCAGAGAAAGGTGGCTGATCTGAACCGATACGTGCTGTATATGTAAAAAACACAGCAGATTTTGAAAACTCAGTTCCCAAAAAAAAAAGGGGGGGGTGCAAAAATATCTCATTAATAATTATTTATGATTATATGTTGAAATGATAATAATTATATACAGTAGGTTAAATATAGTCTTAAAATTAATATCACCTGTGGTTTTCTTTTTTAACTTTTTTAAAAATGGCTACTAGCAAAATTTAAATTACATGTGCCGCACATTTCTATTGGACTGCCCTGGTCTAACCAAATGACTGCACTCCACAAGGGGGCAGCACAGGAACATGAAAAATTTAATAGCCACTTTTTTGGATGTCGGGTTTTAAAGTCTTAAATTATAGTGTTGAAATAATCTAGAAGGGATTTTTAATATTAAGCAAAAGATGCTGTTTTTGAAAGCACTTTTATTGCTAAAAATAGTGTAACTAAGTAGCATAAACTCCAAGCCCCCCCCCAAATTATAGGCAACCACTGTCTGTCCCTCTTCCTTTACTCTCAAAAGAAAAATAACTACCAAGAGTCAGCTAAAATAAATACACTCCCTCATTTAATGTAAATGTCTAAGATAAATGTTCTCACACAGAGGAGACTAAACTTATATAGAGTATCAGCATATGCTTGCTTAGGACATAATTGACCAACGGCATGTATAAACACTGTCTAGTCACCAGTTACTGGTTAGCATTTATGCTTGAAATAAGAAAGCATCTTCAGCCATCTTTGTTATGTTTGGGGTCCCCTGGGGCCACAAACTCACTGCTAAAGTGCTGTCTCCAACATTGGTGGTGATGAGCCCTTCGATGGTGCCGTACTCCACATCTCTGGGATTGAGGCGTTCTTGGTTGCGCCTTTTAAATTTTCGGAGAGCGACTCCCAGTAGGCAGGCTAGAAGGCAAACTGCAAACACTACAGACAGGATAATGAGGCCAACCTCCAAGTGGAAATTCTGTGTTCCAGGAAAGGATTTCCCTGGAGATGGGAGAGGAAAGGGTAATTGGCTGTAAGGATCATCGTTGACTTAGTATTTAGCATAACTGATACCTAACGAGTAGTTCCTGCTCCTGACCACACTGTCTTACAAGCCACAAAGTGTTAAAACTAAAACACTTCCTAACATCTGGCCAACAGCCCAGTCATTTAATCCTTATTCATTTAGACACAACTGGAGTTTGAAAAAATTCCACTGAGAACCAACTGTATTAATGCATGTATGTGAAAAGTATTTTTAAAATATAAGGTACTATACAAATCTCTGATACTGTCCTTATTAACTTAGATTGGACCTGTAAGGATATTTTTATCATCAAGTCCTGACAGACGGACATTACACTGAGATATTCCTATGAGAAAGTGCTACCTGAGTTAAGACCAAATTACCCAATCAGTGGTCTCGCTCTTCAGTGTACCTTGGACATACATTGCTGAATTCTCATTGCTCTCTTTACATCATGATTTTTGCCAAGGAATCTATTCATTCATCTGATCTATAACTCACTTATTCAACATTCATTCATTAGCTCAAAACAGTCATTCACTTACTCACTCACTTGCCGAATCGCTCATTCACTCCCTGGCTCAGACATTGTTCATTACCTTTCAAAAACGCATGCATGCACCCAACACTCCCAGGTCACTCAAGCAAATATCCAGAAAGTCTTTCATCTTGCCTAGTGAGTTAAATCAAAATTTCTTAGTTAGATGGTAAGGGCCAAGATTAAAAGATCCCAAAGCCGTAATCACCTATGAATCTCAGGCCCCTTCGTGACATTATGTCACCAAGCCCTGTTTGCCCCAAAGTATGCTTTACTCGTTTCCAAGTCCCTGGCCCCTTCAGCCATCCAATCGCAACCCTAACTTCCTTTTGATATTTCTTTTAACTTTCCAAATCAAATTAATCAACAAGTTGGCACATAATACTCCATCGTATGTGTCATTTGTATGATAAAGTGTAAAACTAATTATATACAACATTAAATTACAAATATTGGGCCTCCCTAATTAAATTAGGAATTCTTTAAGTAAAGAAAATAAATTTTCTATTACAACTCTAATCTGGCAGAGTATTCTGCAGATTAGAAACTTCTCATACTGTAGATAAAATTTTTGTATAAATGCAGACATTTCTCTGTGGTGTCTCCACTCTGTTGATAACAATTTAACTCACAAAGTTTAAGAGTAAAGTTTATTCCATCTAGCACCCTTTTAGTTGTAACCATTTAAATACTTGAACTCTCTTTCAAAAATCTCCTTTATTATTCAACCCTATTTGCTTATCAGAATTTACCTTTCCCATATGCCTTAAGGTCCTCACCATAACTTCAAAAATTATATGATCTTGTATCAGCTTTTATTCATTTTTCTGCCTCCTCCCTTACTGGCTGACATTTCTGGCCATGGATATTCTTAGTAGCCTCTCCTACAGTTTATTTCTTCTTTTGTGAGTACAAAATTGACTATTTATGTCTATTAAAATGTACCATATACTAGGAGAATAAATTTGGCTTCGACTGAGTCCACAAAGACAATTTTTTAATTAATTAATACTTGTAGGGACTTTGGCATCACAATTTAGTGCTCATTTTATGGGGAAACAGTTTCAGAGGAGGACTGAAATCCATCGTGATTATTATACAGAGAAGATTCCACAAAAACCACAAGGTTGATGTGAAATCTCACCCAGCTTCAAGTTTCAGTGATAGATCACTGGGCATCAGATATGGAAGACTGTCTTTGTCTCCTTTCTCGTAAAGAAGGGAAGGTATTCCACTCGGGCACTGAAGCCTTATGTTTCATTTTCCTCCCTACACACTCAACATAGATGACTATTAACCAAGCAGAACTGTTTCACGAATTATGACATCATAGCTCCTTAACAGAAAAGGGTGCCAGGAACTGTTCACCTCTCATGACAACCAAGAGAGATCTGGGCAGCCAAACGGTCCCCAAGGTAGACATCACCTTGCTCACTTTCCCCCAAACATCCATCCTCCTTGTAGATTCCAAAAGGCCATGCCTTTCTCTTCCTCCCTACAGCTACCCACCTTGCCACCCACTGTTCAAAGAGTAGGAGGAAAGCCTTGTGGCTACTTACATCTTTAACCCACACAGAGTCAGGAAAATACCAACAAAAACCCTTGATCTAGAAATAGAAAAGCCCATGGGAACCTTTAGTGGGCAGCTGGGCCGTGATGTTCCTGTTACACCAGTCCCCTTGGCAGCACTCCACAGCTTGGCCAGGTGACGGCGGGGTCTTACAGGTCATCTTCCCCTGCTCATAGACCTGGAAGCAGCCTTTCTGGTAGACGTGGAAGCCATCGTTTATGCTCAGCGAGGAAAAGCACTGCTGGCCTTCACAGTGGTCCTCATTCCCACAGGAGAGGCCTTCACACACACACATGTAAAGTTTGGGGTTTACCTTGGGCTTCTCATCTGCAAAGGAGAGAGAGGAAGGAACACAAACAAACAAAAATCACTGCATGGGTTTTGCCCCCATTGGGGGAATGATAGTTTCGCCAAGACCATTACAGCAAACACACTAACCAAACAGCAAGTCAGGTGGAGCAACCCCACTGACCATGATGTCCATATTCTGTTATTTTGTATCCCTCACCTGACCAACCACCAAATAATAACCACCTCTCAAGATACGAACGTGTTCATGTAAGCTGGGTGCTCTTTCAGGACCTACTCAGCCAAAGAATGGTTGGTTATCATCTGTCCACAGGCTTCTGAAAATGAATTTCTTCCACTGTGGTTCATGTTATCATTGGTCTCATGGGTTCTCCTATCCCAATACTTGAATCAAAATAAACTGTGTTACCGGAACATAACACTCATTACCTTTATTTTTTTTTAAAGGCTCCTATAGATGGTTATCTGTTAATACCAGCTCTTGCTAGCTCCAGATAAATCTCCATCAACTAGCAACACGAGGACTGCTGACGTTCCTGCCATCAGCTGTCTGCGTCAGAAATATACCAGCATAGTGACAGTGTATGAGGATGCACAGTCTCTGACTACAAATCCATATTATCAATATTTTCAGCTAGATGTCTAGATCATTTTTCAACAGCAGTAACACTGAAGTTTTTACATTGAATACAATGGGATCTCATTGCTGTTTACTTCAACTGGTAGGAAAAAAAAAATTGGAACCAATTACTGAGGATGAGGGCACAGAAAGACAAAGGGAACAGAACGACGCTTGAACAATACAGTAACCAGAGGGCCCAACGGAGCAGCCCATACCAGGTGGCTCCAAGGCGCAAGATGGATGGTCAGCAAAGCTCACCTAATCAGACCTCCTGTCTCTTTCCAAAACACTCACGTGCACTTTCATCTTTCAAGTCACTCTTTCTTTCTTTTCCCCTCCCTTGTTAGGATAATTAGTTCAGAACTGCTGGTCCCAACAGCTTCCACTAGTGGGGAAGGGAAGTGAAGACAGAATGTAAACAGCCAAGTCTTGGAGGCCACAGATTTAGTCAGATGAGGCCACTCTCACCCAAGTTCATATATGGAAAGTCTGCTCTCATAGCTCCCTCCAAAGGTCTACAGCACAGACAGGCCGCCTCCTAATCCTGGAACCCCCTGCAGAGGTCTGTGAAACACCTGCTTCTCTCTTAAAATAACAGGTCAGGTGGCCGTGCTTCCAAGAGGAGACCTTCAGGTAAGGTCTTTGGAAATGTCAAGCTCATTTACACAGATTTATGTGGGTGTGTGTAGAGGTGTGGGTTATCTCAAAAAGAGAAAAGCATTCTTAGGCTTTCTTCTTCCCTCTTCAAAGAAGCGAAAAATAGTTCACTGCCCACTGCAGTGTGGGTGCCTCGGCCCACAGAGTAAAGTGCATGCGGACACACAGACACAGGGCTTCTATTTATAATTGACTTGCTAGGTCTTTTGAAAACCACAAGGGGCTCATCCAAGAGCAAAGACTTGCCTGAAAGCAGAAAATCTAAAATAGCCGCTGACAGTGTATGTATGTCACCAGTCTCACCCCCGAGAATCAAGAGCCCTCAGACATTTTTAATGAGCAAAAATTTTAATGAGCCAAGAGATAGTCTTTATTTTCCCTGCCTAGAGAAATCCAAGAGAAGTTCCAGCACCAATTCTTTTCTATGAGGATGAGAAACATATATATCAGTTGACATAATCCGGCAAAAAGTTTACACTTGCCAAACGCAAGTGGAAAGATAATATTTCTAGGGAGTCTAGACATGCTTGCCGCTGTCAAATGGCACAGAGCTGGACTGAGGGCTGCCAACTATGCTGCCCAACAGGTGAGGATTCTTCGGAGGGAAACAGATGAGGGGGAGGGGAGGGTTAATGGTGTCATATTGATTTGTCTGTGATCACAGCAGAGAATTTTTTGTTAAAAAACAAACTTTAAAAACCGTGCGATAGTTCAATTTACACAAATTTGCAACACAAACACGTATTTTATGACCCTAAATAATTTTTAAAGGTCAGTAATATCCAAAAATACATACTTAACACATTAAGGAGGTTGTATCTGTTGGTGCCAGGCTGGGGATGAGGGGTTAGAGTTGGGATGAAGGGGTAAAATGAAAACAATATAGGAGAGGAGCTGCTCATGGACTGATAATGAATTGAGGGGTATGAGTCATTCAACTCGCTGCACCTAAGTCCACCAGGAACAATAAACAAGCACCTGCAGACTATAGAAGGTGCACTCATCACTGATCCTACGGAAATGGATGGTCCCGGGTACCAAAGAATTACTGACACTCCGTGATCCTAATAAAAAACATGTCAATTTTTAAAAATATAAAATAACAACAATAATAATTTCTCTGATACGCTCTCGGAGTAAACTCTGTTTTAAAGTTTCACCCCAAACTGAACTCTAGGTCCACAGATGCAAGATGCACACTGCCTTTCCAAGTTCCCCAGCTTCTGAAAGGATGTGGGGGTGGTCTGACAGATGTTTAAACTATAACCTAAAGAATTTTGCCAGAATTGGGCAGCCTTCAGTAAATACCATCTTTGGTAAGATTCAATCCACTCTATCCAACTGTGCAATGCATACAGGCATAAGACTATAGATCTCAATCAGATCTTACCCTGTCGGGTCATAAACTAAGTCCAGACCCAGGTCTTTCATTTCTTCCCTGCCCCAATCAGAAAAAAGAAAAAAACGGGAAGCAAGACAGTTCTTAATTGTCTGTAATAATTAACTCAATCTCTGATACGGAGGGACCGTGAGCTCAGTTCAGCAGTTAGCAAAAGAAAGTACAAAACCTTCACCAACTTTGCTTCCTATTTTGCTTCTCACCAATGTTCAATCTTCTTAATTTGTATATTCCCGTATAACTAATTAGCAGAATCCTTGATGAATCCATTTTTTTTTAACATAGAGTCAAATATAAATAAAGACCCTAAATTCACAAAATATAAGAATGACCACATGCACCCACACACACATATGCACATAAGCACACTTGTTAGTTAAATGCCACTTGGCAATTTCATCCAACGGAGTGGATTAGTTGAAGAGATGCCAAAAGGATTTTCTGGGCTAGGATTACCAATTCAACAAAGAAGGTTAAAAGCAAGGTAGTAACATTTTCAGATCGTAATATTCACAATTCAAAGGAATACAGCAGGCCCCAAAATGCCTATGACTCACTGTTTTAGTCTTGTTAAAATTTAGGAATAACCATAACATGTGTGGGCCTGTGATATCTTATTTGGGATGGGCTTGTGGGGCAGGGAGGTGTGAGAACTATCACAAAACCTTTTTTAGGGCCATAGGCAAGGGTCTGTGCACCTCTAATCTCTTAGACCGTGACATAAATACACTACACGTCAGGGAACACTAAGGAAGGATAATCATCTTCTGCGGCTGATTTTCTACAGTCTGGTCAGGAAGCACCCTCTCTGACATGAAACATTTTACACTTGCCTGTGCAAAGAACTAGGAAGTGTCCTGGCAGAAGGCAGCAAGTCTACTCTTCCTAATTGACACTCATTTAAATAATTCAGTAATTGAAACGTCAAGCCAGAGGTATTCCCTCTCTGCGGAGCTCACCCACACTGTTTGTTCTAAAGGCACCCCTGGCATTACTCAGTGTTATGGCTGGCACCGTGTGCCCTTTGTATCCCCAGAACCAGGCCTGTGTGAACACACTCGCAGCCCGCGTCTGGCTGGGAGCGGCAACGAGTTTACAACACTCGACACCCCTGGAAGGATGCAGGGCTGGCTCGTCAATCAGAGGCACAGGCTCGGAATCCCAGGGGCTCACTGCGGCCAAATCTTTGAAGAGATTTTTCTGGTTCTGAGAGATACTCAGCTCACCATCTGGACACACCTCCTCTCAGAGCCTAATCCTCGACTGGCAGAGGAAGAGGCAGAGCAAAGAGCATCGCGGACGTTTTAAGACTGTCCCCAGTTTGGGATAATCTCATGCCTCGTAGTAAGAGTATCCACATTTACGACTTAAGTGGGACTTGAGCAATCTGGGCACAGCACGAGGAACGGATCTCCCCGTTCTCCCGCCCACCTGCCCAGTCATGCACTCCAGAAGGCTTTAAGGCATTTAAACTGATTATCATTCTAAATGGTGCACCAAACCCCACGTTTCCCACTGAAGTCTTTGACACAAAAGACAAATGGGAAAATGCTCCAAATAAACCAGCCTGTAGCTGATCCCAGGAGTCAGCAAAAGGAACAGGCTGAATTTCTTACAGGCTCACCTCAAAGGAGCCTAAACAACAATGCAGCTATTAGACTACTGTTATAAAGTCCAACAGCTCAGAACTTCATAGGCTAAAATAGGAACCCCAAACATCCCTGGACTCTTTCCAACAGTATAAACGATTCATTCATTTGAAATGACAGCTTATATTAGGCTCACTGACACGGGAGTCCTTCCATTATTCCTAATCCGAGAGTGTGGTGGGCACCTCTCCAGAATCTGAAAGCATTTGAGATCTCTGGCATTAAACAAAGGCTTATGGATGGATTTTGCAATGCCAGGTATCACAGCCAGAAAGCCTGCTCCTAAGACAGAAACACAAAGGTCCATCCGGAATGCCTAGTGAAGGGCATTTGATGGTCTGGCAAGAAGGCAGGCTGTATGCTCAGGAAAAAAAGACTCCAAGTGCCTAAAGGCTCTCATTGTACAATGCCCACTTAGGGAACCCAAGTCACATTTTTTTTTCTGATCAGAGAAACTGATACTTGGTAAAGCTGTAAAAGCCAAGAAGGAAGTATGTTCCAGGAATTAAGAGAGAGAATACGGACATCCGAACAAGATCACCAACACATTAGAACAGTAACAACAAAAAATAATTTTAGGGTTTCCATGATCTTGAACTCATGTGTCCTCTAGTCCACATGTGTTCTTCCTCCAAGTGTTGGTTCCCTCACAGAGTAATGGCTCCCCCCTTCAGATGTACAAGCCTGATTCCATGAGCCTCAAAATGGAGACACTGTGGTTCCCATGATCCCTGCCTCCTCCTCCTCCTCCTCCTCCCCTCAGATCCCCTCCGTTCTGGGACTGCCTCTTCCTGCTTCAGGACCTCAGGCCCGCGAGGTATGGAATTCCCTCCACACGAAACACTTGGCTCCCTCCCTGCCAACACCCCCACCCACCCAGTCAGTGCCCATGCTTCCCCACAGAGCTCACCTCACTTGCTGTTTCCTCAGAGAAGCCTTTGTTCACATACCCAAATGTAAAGCTGGAGCCACCCGTCTACACTCGCATACGTCTACACTTGCATATGTGAGTCTGCTGGCTGCTGAGCACCCCAGCCTCCCTCTAGACTGTGCGCACCCTGAGGGAAGGGACCGGGCCTACGCGCTCACCGTCGCACACCCCACACCTGCCTCAGCGTTGGCAGGAGGGCAAGCCCGATGAACGTTTGCTTCAGAATGAATTTTCTCTCCACAGAAAGGATTTAGAGGTGGGAAGAGACATGACGCTGGCTTTCAGAGCAGCCTGAGCCCATAAAGTCTTTAAATGTCAGCAGAGATCTTCAGGCACGGCTTAGTCACCGAGCCAGCATGTCTGTGCAAACCTCTTCTTTCCACAGGAGCTCGCCACGGCGTCACATCTGTTCACCTACTCGGGCTTGCAAGGGTGGAAAATTAGCACTTTCTGTGGTGTGCTAGGTTTTGTGTTTGCTTGTTTGCGTGCTAGAAGAAAGAGGCAAAATACAAGGGTTCCTACAACAAGGAGTTATTTAATACATTAACAGAACAGCAGGGCTTTTACCTCCTGCTCCTTCCATGGATGACTGATTTGAGGACTTTTGGCTACTCTGATGCTACGGTGATCAGGACGATCAAAGCACTCTAGCCAGTGGAGGGAGGTCACGCAGGACTTGCCTGCTCAGCAGGGAAACAGATGCCCCTGGTCTCCGCTGCCACTTTCCTCCTATCAATGAAAATAATGGCGTTTTCAGCAGGGAGTGAGGAAGAGTGAATTACATCATTTTCCCCTTCTTGCTTTGCTGAAGGTGATAAGGATTCCTAACTCACCCTGCATTTGAACTGCTGAAGCTGTAAAAGAGGGGGAAGCTCCATCTGTTTATTTTGTGTCTGGGCTGACTCCTTGTCTCTGAAATCATCCATGTAAGTTAAGCCTATTGCAGCAGCCACACCTATTTCAAAGCCAAAAACCCAGTCTGTGTTTAAATGACTAATAAGTTAAAGAGCATTGTGGGGTGCTAACCCAAGACAATACTGGTCTGTCTTTTCCATGCTTTTTGAGATTCCCTGAATGTAGCACAGACTTAGCTTTAACATGTGCGCTGTGTCCATGAAGCCACTCCTTCAAGTGCAGGAAAATAAGGACTTCTTCATTTTGTCTTCAAACCTTTTGCATCGTTGCTTTAGAGAAACAAATGATTACAAGGTCCAATGAAAAGTACCTACTAAGGAATTCTTTAAGCAGCCACAATACACCCCAACTTCACCCCACCCCCACACAATGACAATTCTTGAGTCTGAGTGAAGCTCCACTTACTGGAAGAGCGACGGGGTACCACAGACTGAAGGCAGGGGGTAAAAAGAGCTGGGGAATTACAAACATTTCACAGAAGTCATTTTTTGTTTCGGTTCAGAAGAGGCAGTGATGTGGTACCACCTATAGAAAGTCTGAGGCTAGACGCTCTGTTCACAGGATGGGAAGACATGCTCCTGACTCATTTGGGTTGGCTCCCCCTTACCCCCAGGACATCTAGGGAGTGCACACTGCTCCAGTGAGGGTTTCCTACCCAGGCTCTATAATGACAATTCTGATTTTACAAGAAACCTTAAGTGAGGGCTGTACGTGGGACCAGATAGCAGAGAAGGCGCCATGGGGCGCTTCAGCGCCCAGCTCCCACCTCTGTTTCCCTCCAGTGCCCTGCTTGACCTTCTTCTCTGGGAATCAGGGACAGAGCCTCCAAGGCTGCAGAGCTTTGCTCTGCTTACCAGCAGCAAGCCGCCACCACACCCCCACAGCCTTTCCGGAAGCTTTCAAACCACAGAGATAAACCCTTCAAAAGATGGGCAGGGCTCCAATTTGTTAGCAGTCATAGAATGCCAGCCTCTAGGCATCGTGGCACCCAAAGCTAAAGGCGAAAATATATAGAATTAGTGAAATTCAGCTCAATTCCTCCTCTCCAGCTCCCTACCATACCCAACCCCAGAGAAAAGCACAGAGGAAACAAGGTAATGTCTAGACCAGTTTCTTTCCAGCCCAAATGAAGCCAAAGAGATGAAGATACTCAAAGGTG